CCCTCAGTAGAGTGCTGTAGTGTTACAGCTCACAGCAACCTTCAGCTCTTGGGCTTAGGCCAGTGGTTCTCAACCTTCCTAATGCTGTGATGTACTTTCATTGTTAAAAAGGGGTCTTGACCCACAGGTTGATAACCACCGGCTTAGGTGATTCTCTTGCCTCAGCCTTCTGAGTAGCTGGGACAGGCTCCCGCCACAACTCCTGGCTATTTTTTGGTTGCAGGGGTGCAGTTTGACTGGGGCCAGGTTTGAACCTGCCACCCTCGGTATATGAATCCAGCGCCCTACTCACTAAGCCACAGGTGCTACCCAATTAGCCTCACTCTTAAAATGGAGAAATCAAATCCAATATTACTACAACAGAAAAAATATAATACATCTGTAGTTCTTGTAACTGTATTTTAAAACCAATGAGGATATAATGGATTTTGAAATACATTTTGAAGATAATGTATGAAAATTTGAATAAAACTAACTTTTTAAATGTTTTAACACTGATGTGCAAGGAATGGCATGTTATTTTATCCGTCTTAAACTAATCACACCCAAGATCGTGATATAAAAAAAATATTTTATTGGATAACAACAGTAATTTTTTCTTTTCCCAAGGAATTTAAATGCATATATTTTGGAGAATGTTTTTCACAGTTGCTATCTTGTATTATTCCTGATTTTTGTAATTGTTGGGATATTATAATGGTAATAAAAATTATATGAATTATTAAATACATAACTTTTGAAATTCTAAATCGTGTAATTCCCACCACCACCCTTTTTTTGGTACATGCTCCCTTTCTAGGCAAATAAATATTTTTTCTTTTTTTTTTAAAGTGTGCTATATATATATAGAGAGAGACTCATTCTGTCACCCTGGGTAAAATGCCTTAACATCATCATAGCTCACAGCAATGTCAAACTCTTGGGCTCAAGTGAGCCTTTTGCCTCAGACTCCCAAGTAGCTGGGTCTACAGGCATATGCCGTCATGCTTGAACAGTATTTTTTTTTTTTTTTGAGACAGTCTTTGTCACCCTGAGTAGAGTGCTGTGGGTGCCATCATAGCTCACAGCAACCTCAAACTCTTGGGCTAGGGAGATCTTTTTGCTTCGGCTTCCTAAGTAGCTGAGACTATTGGCACCCACCAAAATGCCTGGCTAGTTTTTCTATTTTCAGTAGAGCCAAGGTCTTGCTTTTTGCTCAGGCTTGTCTCAAACTCCTGAGCTCGAGCAATCCACCCACCTCAGCCTCCCAGAGTACTAGGATTACAGGCTTGAGCCACCGTGCCCATCTTACTGGCTAGTTTTTCTATTTTACGTAGAATGGGGTCTGCTCTTGCTCAATCTGGTTTTGAACTGAATTCAAGCAATACACCCTCCTTGACCTCAAGGAGGGCTAAGATTACAGGGCATGAGCCACTGTGCCCAGGACCAAATAAAATTTTTAAAACTTTCCTCTTTGTTTTATGTTGAATGCAATTACACATATTATGCTCACTAGTGGTGCTCAGAAATTAATTTGAAGACAATATTTCTTTAGTGACATTACATGATGACTAGGTAGCAGTCCAGGATTGATGAAATAGTCCAATGACTTTGTGTGGTACCAGTTTGTTTCACTCTTCTGATGTCTACGATTAGTGTGCTCGTGCCTACTCAAGTTGGCTGCTCCACCTTCCAGTATCAAACAACATTCCAAACAGCAGCGCCCTGCCCACTGAGCCACAAGTGCCGACCCCCACCCTCCATTATTAATCTCAGAGCAACAAAAAGTAAATGTGAATCTGATCATAGGTAATTTTATTGGAAACCATTCCTTTAAATTTAGAAAAGGCCATTCTCTCTTAGCATCTGTCTCTCTCTACCTTTACTGACTAAAATCTTGATAATGTTCACTCTATGCAGAAAAAATTTCTCTGAAACACAAGAGGACACATCAGAATATGACTGGGGAATGACTGTTTATTTATCTGAGACGGAGTCTCACTATGTCGCCCTCACTGCAGCGCCATGACGTCATAGCTCACAGCAACCTCAAACTCTTGGACTTAAGCAATTCTCTTGTCTCAGTCTCCCAAGTAGCTGGGACTACAGGCGCCTGCTCCAACACCCGGCTATTTTTTTGTTGTTGTTGTTGATATTGTCATTGTTGTTGTTTAGCAGGCCCAGGCCAGATTCGAACCCACCAGCCCTGATGCACTGAGCCCTAACCACTGAGAATGGGCACTGAGGCAAATGACTGTTTTTACTTGGATTGTTACTTCATCACTTTAAATTGC